AGCACAGCACCCTAACCAGGAGCACAGCACCTCCCATTTATGACCCAAACAGGGTCATGGATTTCCCACCGAGGAGGCAGCAGAGGAGCATCTTCCCCCAGGCAGCAGGAAGGCAAACCCTTCCCCTCCCACCCTGAGTAGGGGAGATAAATATTCCTCTTTCCCCCAAACCTGGGTAAGCTTCCCCGTTCCAGAGTGGTTTGGCCTCACAATCTTCCCCTCCCCCCACCACCTCCCTTTTTAGGATGTACCAGTGTTCAGGGGGTTTTTTGCAGGAGGGCAAAGAAATGCAAGACTTGGTCATTTCTGGGTATTTCCGATTCAAAATTAATTCCTCCTTTTAATTTTAAATAGTAAAAGGTTTCCAGCCTTAACAGCAGATCTTCCTCATTGAAGACCAAGACACATGCCCAACAGTCCCCTCAACAAGAATTTCTTCCTGAGAAATCCCCCCAAATCCATCTGGACAGGGTTTCCAATCCCAATGGCCAAGGATAAGAACCGTGACTGTCCCAGCTCTGCAGGTCGGCAGCACCACTGGGCTCTTCTCCAAGGAAAACACTGCTCAAATCCAGTCCCTCTGGATGCAGGAGACCTGGAGCTGAGCTCCACACCTCAAGGACAACGGAGCAGGGGAAGGAGGGATCAGCTGGCCAAATCCTGAGCAGAAGTTCCATACCATCTGTGTACTGCTTGTGGGTTTGAGGGCTCCTTGGAGAGGCTTCAGGGTGTCTTCTTCTTAGGAGGAGAAGCCAGAGGAGGAGGTGGCAGCAGAGAGGCTTTCAGGCAGCAGAAGATGGTGACCTGCAGGCATGGACAGCAGCAGAGAGAAGACAGGAACCAACACCACAGTGCTGACCACTGGTGCATAGAGACCACAGAAGAAAAACCACGGTGGGGTGTTACCTGTCCTGGTAAGATGCAGATGGTTTGGCTGGTCAAGGAGAAGACTGGGGAAGCCCAGACCTCCTCATCACCTTCTCTCTGCAGGGACAGAGTCTGGTAGTAGCAGAGACTAAAAAACCAGCAAGGTTCAGAGCTACCAGGATGATGCTCCTCCACCAGCATCTCTGGAGCAAGTCCTACCCATCTCCTGCTAACAAAACCCCTTGCATGGTCTTCCCAAGCCCCAGCTGAGCATAAAAAGGTGCCTTTTTTTCCTCTTTGGGGTCATTTATTTATAGATTTAAAGAAATAAAAATAGAAAAAGAGCCAAAGAGTGCACATTGGAGAGAAAAAAAAAAGTTCATTGCAACAAAGGAAGAGGAGAAGCTGGGGTGGGAAAGGGTCCCCTCTGCCAAACCAGCAGCTTTTGAGAGAGAGGGATCATCCCTCCTGTGTGCAGTGACCCTTCAGAACGCGCCGAATTCATGGTCACAGTATCCCACGTAGAGAGGCTGTGCCTGGACACCCCGCCTGCAAGGAGAGAGAGACTCGGCGTCAGGGGGGCACTGAGGGGCTGCAGGGGCGTGGGGCAGGGAGGGAGCAGTTTCTGTCCCACGCTTAGAGACTAGTTTTGCTGGCACATGGCAAGGGCAGGTTTCCTGGGGCAGCTCATGCTGCAGGAGGAGCAGGTGCCCCTTCCCCAGCAGGAACTCCTCGGCAGAGCCACCAGCCCACGCCGGCAGCAGGGCCTCCCTCCCAGCACCACACAAAAACCAGCTCTGCCCACACGCAGGCAGAGGAGAAAAGCTCAGGATTTTTCCATGAGAAGAAAGGTGATTTTGCCCCAGGGAAAGCCCCCAGGACAGAGCTGGTTACCCCAGGAGGGTGCAGCGGAAGGCGGCCAGCCGCGCGAAGGCGTCCTGCAGGTTCCTGACGGTCCCGTTGCTCCACAGCCTCTCAGCTACAGCTCCAGCTCTTGGCCTTGAGGAACAAGGGACAGTGGCAGTCAGGTCAGGGGGGAGGTTGAAAGCTTCTCGCCCTGAGCTCCCAAACACTTTCCAGACCCAAGTCCTTCCATATACGAAGACACGTGTTTTCCATATATCAGCACAGAAAGGTTTGGGTTGGAAGGGACCTTAGAGACCATCATGGGCAGGGACACCTCCCACCAGCCCAGGCTGCTCCAAGCCCCATCCAACCTGCCCTTCAACACTGCCAGGGATGGGGCAGCCACAGCTTCCCTGGGCAACCTGGGCCAGGCTCTCACCACCCTCACACTCCAGAATTTCCTCCTCATGTCCAACCTAAATCCCCCTCTTCCAGTTTTAATCTCTTCCTCACTTGTCCTCTCGCTACAAGCCCTTGTAAAGTATCAAAAGATGCACTCCTGGACATGTGCGGATCAGGTGTACCGGGGTGACAGGACAGAGACCAGCTGCAGCAGCAGGCTGTGCAGGAGCAGGTGACAGCCTGACAAACTCCCATTCAGCCCCAGTGAAGCTGTTACAAGCACAGAGGCACTGCCAGGGGACAGGGACAAACACCAGGTGCAGCCCAGTTGGGCACCAGAGAGGGGCCCAAGCCCTGCCCATGCAACTGGGGTAACCTCCCCATGGGTCTCTTACCAGAGCCTGGGGGCCAGGTTCGTGACGTCCACATATTCACCCCACATGCAGGCCTCTCCACCAATCACCAGCTCCTTCTGCTCAGGGGTGCCTGTGAATGGGGTAAACACACCTACTTTATAAACCTGATGAGGCTGTGAGGTTTGTGCCACACGTCACCTGCCAGGACAACGTGCTCGGGTGACCGGGCGGTTGTAGAGCAACAGGGTGACCTATTGCCCTGCCCACATGGGTGCCTGTAACAGCTATGGAGGAAATAACGTGCCCATCTGGAAGCCCTCTGCTTCCAGGCTGGGGGAGGACCAAGGTGTTTCTGCAGGCAGCAAGGGAACAACAAAAAGGACAGAGGTGCTTAAGCACCTTCACACCAGCAACAAGAACAAATCATCAAGAGACCCAGCCTTGGCACCACCTCCGAGCAACAAGTCAGCTGCTGTATAGGGGAAGGTGACACAAGGAACACACCTTCAAACTCCAAGGGCTCCACCTGGTAGGCTGCCATCCAGTCCTGCCCGTAGGTGATGCGGTTAAGGTACCAGGGGGCAGAGAGCAGAGCCCTGAAGCCAGCCTTGGTGACATTGGCCATCTCCTCCATGTACCGCGAGGAGTCCTCCTTCCACACGTGGATGATGGTGTCTGGCCTCACCTGACGAGCACACAAGAACCCCATGAATGGGATCAGTGCAGCAACAAGAGCACCAGCTCCCCTCACAAGCTGAGTGCCCTGACCCATCCACAGCTTTGAACGCCCCAAAGGGAAACTGACGCAGACACTGGGTTGACTTTTGAGCCTCTTTCCAACAGGTTTGCAGAAGCAACAGAGAGAGGGATAATTCCAACCTGCCTCTTGCAGGTGTATATCCAAAACCCCTGAGGGAAGAGCCTGCTAACAACAGTCTGACAAAGCCACCATGAGGGCAGCTCACTGGCAGCACCATCTCCAGATCAACCCCAGTGCCGTAACAGTGAACCCTCCATCAGCCCCAGCCCCCCCAGAGCACCCCAGCTGGATGCTGGCACTGTTCCCCCAGGACAGGGAACTGCACTGGGGAAAGCAGGCAGCTCTCACCTTCACTGCATTGTCAAACACCTCCTGCCACACAACAGAACCTTTGCCGAGGGAAGAGACGATGTCCAGAAGCCTGGAGTGTAAAGAGCTTTGGGTCATCCCAACCACACTCTCCTCTCTTTGCTGGTTGCCCACAGCCACAGCTGACATTCCCAGCACCCACAGCAAGGTGCAAAGGCACTCCTGAAGGAGAAGGGAGAAAGCCCCTTGTGGGGCTTCTTTCTCCTCAGCCCCAGGCTTTTTTGTGGTCCATCTCCCAGTAAAACGTTGGCTACTCCCCCTGGGATCAGGGGGACGTGCCTGAATGGTGTGCTCCTGAAAAGGAGATCTGGTAACCCTGAGACAGCAGAAGATACTTGTGCTGCTCACATACTGCAGCTTGAGGCCCCAGGATGCAACCATCCTTACCTCTGAATGTAGAATGACTCTAACTTTCTGTAATCTTCACCAAAGCCCATCTCCTTCATGAAGGCACGAATTTTTGGATTGGATTTCCTGTGTACCAAAGGGAGGAGAATAAAAGCACTGCAACCTGAGCTCTGGAGTAAGGCCAGGATGTGGCCAAGTCCTCCCCACATCAGCCCAAAGCTGGCTCAGGTATTCCAAGAGCTGTGGCTTCTCACAGCCAGTGTCACCAAGAACACAGAAATCCCAGGAATCAACACACCGAGCCCAGGGGAGCAGAACACCAAAGATCTGCAGATGATCATAGTCAAAAAGTGATGGGCTGGGTCTCCAGCCCCAGACACTTCTCTAGAGTCCCCATCCAGGCTGATCTCAGACTCACCAGCACGTGAAGTCCACCTCATCACCACCCAGGTGAAGGAAGAAGTCTGGGAACACAGCGCTGACCTCTTTAAACAAGCTGGTCACAAACTGGTAGGTGCTGTTAAGGATGGGGTTGATGGGCCCATAGGTGCCAGAAGGATGCTCACCCAAGTAGCAGGGAGTGAGAAGGCCTGGAGCACCTGGGTTGTAACAAACAGGACAGTGAGGAAGGGGCTAAAGGTGGCTGTGTGGTCTGTATAATCCCCCAGGCTCCCCAGCACAGCCCAGTGCCTGCCATGATGACAGGAGACTCAAGCACTGCACAGAAGCCACAATCATGGCAGCAGAAACGTGATGTCTGGCTCAGGAAGCCCGACCCAGTGGGGAGGGATCTATGTTTGTGCTCCCCCCAAACATCTGCTGCTGCCCCCAACACACATACCCAGGTGAGATCAGAGCTCAAGCCTTTCAGGCTAGACACCCCTTTTACCCCCTGCAACAGCTACTCTGAGAAAAGGGCACTCCAAGTCCTTTCAGGGTGGTACAATTTTCACCCTTCCCAGGTTTCTCCTTGGTGTCTCTCCCCACTGATTTTTTTCAGGACAATCCTACAAGAAACCACCCACAGAGCTGCTGGAGAAGGACAATGCCAGGACAACCCCCAGCACCCTCTCCCAGCTGCAGGCAGGGACGGGCACAGCCACAGTTCTGACTGTGACCACATGCACAGGGTGTACTCCAGTGCAGGACGTGGCATCTGAAAGCAGAGGAAGGAGAGAGAAAGACAAGGCAACGTGTTCCTGGAGCTTCTTGCACTTCCAGACATGGAAGAGCAGGCACTTGGACTCCTCGGAGCAGGGAGCAGCGTGTCAGGACTGGGGCACAGCTGAGCAGAGCAAGGAAGCTTGGCCAGCTGGACCCCCTGTTAAACCCAAGATTCTTGCAATGCCCACAATGCTGGTTTTGGCAGAGCAGACGTTCCCAAAAAAACCCACCCACCCTGGACCCAAGAAGAGATGGAATCATCTTCCCTGTGCATTTTGCTCTAGAAGTTGAACCATTGAGTCCTACTTCCCCCAAACAACGGTTTGCTCCTCCTCAAAGTCAACCCATAGGACATGGCTGCTCACACCCCACGTTGCAGATCCCCTTCCTCCCCCCAGTACAACTCCAGCCCTCCTCACAGCAGCAGCTGCTCCTCACCTGGACCCCAGGAGAGGGTGTGCCCAGGAGTGTCAAACTCCACAAGCACCCTGATGCCCCTCAGCCGGGCGTGCTCGATCACCGTCTGCACGTCGCTGGCTGTGTACACGTGGCTCATGGCACTGAAGGCTCCCTGGGGGAGATGGGAAGTCTCAGGGTCTTGCTCAGGTGCCAAGGGAGGGATCTGCTCCCTACAAGGCGGTCAGGGCAGGTTACCTGCTTGCTGAGCTCTGGGAAGGTCTGGCTCTCAAAGGGGAAAGATGGGTCGTCAACAATGTGCCAGTGAAACACGTTGAGCTTGTTGTAAGCCATGACATCCTGGGAGGGGACAGGAAGAGAGGCAAAATGCCCTGCACCTTCTGAAGGTTACCCAGCTTGCCGTGGAAAGGCACCAAGGTCCCTGTGCACCACAAGGACAAGGCAGAGTGCCAAAACACTCCCCAGGATCCAAGACGGATTCAGACACACCAAACACAGCAGCACCACAAAGAGCTGCAGAGGGCCAGTTGTGCTTCTGCTCACAATAAAATCCCCATTCTCCCTATGATTGAGTCAATGGTAGAGACTTGGAAGTTTAAATCTCCTTGGGATAAACATAAGACACACCATCCAACTTTCATCTGATGTGGCTGAGTAGATGTCCATGTTTTCCCTTGCCTGAGAAACCACCCAGCCTTGGAAAGTAATCTGGGTTGCAGGAACCCAAGACAGTTTAGGGTTTTCTTCCTTCTCTCACTTAAAAAAGGGAGCAGCTGTGAATGGCACTGGGATCCAGCAACCACAGCCATGGGAACTGGGAAGGACCTACAGTACAGAAGCATTTTCCCATGATCTGTATGTGAAAAACGAGGTTGTGCTGTCATCCTGACCCAGCTTGTTGCTTCATCTAGGGAGAAGCAACCTGCTTTTCTTCAAAAAGCCTAGATTTGAGAAGCTCTTCCTCAAAAAGATGGAGGTGCAATGGCCTGCACATTAGACAGACCCTAGGATCTTTGTAAAGGAGTAACATAAAAAAAACCAAAAAGCCACTCAAGGAGCCTTCAGTTGACACAGAGGAAGGGGCACCCAACTGAACCACCTCATCTCCCAGTACAGGCACCTCACCAGAGTTTCCAGGATGGCTCTCAGAGGCAGGTAGTGACGAGAGGTGTCCAGCAACAGTCCCCGGTGAGGGAAGCGGGGAAAGTCCACGATTTCTGTCTCGTTGACATAGTACTGCACACAGAGAGCACAAAGTACTGAGCAGGGCTCCAGGCAACACAGCCATTAGCAGGAGAGAATCAGGGTCACCTTTGCCCCAAGGCCAGCAGGATGAGGAGGGGAAGCCTCACTGCCCAGCGTGCAAGCAAGGCAGAAAGAGCTGTGATGCTTTACCCACTCAGAAAGCAGGGATCTGGCTGGATTCATTAATCCCTCCTTGGCCCTTGGTGAGGCTGTGCTGCACTGCTGGTATCCCCCTCATCCCAAGCACCCCAGCAATCCTTCCCCTTTAGGAAGAGCTCACTGCCCCCAGGAGATGAGGGCAGGACTCACCGTGCCGTTCTCATCTCTCCCAACGAGCTGGCTGAACGTCTCCAGGCCTGCAGGAAAAACCACACATAGCCCCTTTCTCAGCAGGTCCTCCCAAAGGAACCGAGCTCAATTAACAAGGCTATGAAAACAGAGAGAGGCACAGAGAGAGGTCCCCATGGGCCTGGGGCAGGGAGAGCAGGAAAGCCCCACAGAAAGCACACCTCACCTCTGAGAGCTCCCCAGACAGTATCAGCAGAGAGCAGCATGGAACCTCCTGAGATGGACAGCTTATCTGGAACACAGCAGAAGGGCTGGTGGGGTGGGGGTCCCACGCTGCAGCTCGCCCTGCTCTGGGCCACAACTGCCCCAACTAAGGGGCTGCAGCAGCAGCAGGCAGAGGTTTAGATACAGGACTGCACTCTGGCATCCCAGAGAACCCACTTTGGCTTTGGTTGGGTTTTTTGTTTTCTGCTTGTTTTACCAGCAGCCTCAGGTACGTTGCTCCCTCCCTGCCCCAATTCTTAGTGACACAGCGAGGACGTTGCCTCCCCAGAACTGGGGGCAAGTGCTGCACGGTGCTGTTTCCAACACTCCTGTTCCAGTCACTCCCTCCTGCTCCCAGCCCTGATACTCACAGCCTTCCTTGGAGTCCAGGCTGGGATACCCATCGCAGTCCGGCGTGGAGACAAAGACAAGGAGCTCAGCACAGGGTGTCCCCCAGGGCGGCTCCTCCCCTGCAAAGGACACAGACCACAGTCATCAACCCCATCCTGCCTCTTTTCCCTGCTTCCAGCCCAGCTTGTCACAGACTACAGGGATTTTTAACACATGTGGCAGAAATGGATGCTCCCTCCTTCATCCCACAGCGGGCACAGGGGTGTTCAGTGGGGGCTTCTTTTGACACAAGCAGGAACATGTCAGCTGATCCCAGCCATCAGCACAGAGAAGGTCTGCTGGTGAAGGAGCCCCCAGGGGAGGCTTTGCAGTGGAAGCTTAAAGGAGCACATGAAAAAGGAGAGACATCAGAAGATGGTCTAGCAGCAGCCCTCAAGGCATCCCAGACACCAGCCCCTGCACTAAGCAATAGCCACAACTACTCACATCTCCTCTGACGGGGGGTGGGGGGGTAAAGAGCTTCATGTCTCCAAAATTTCCCAGCACTGGGCAAAAAAGCAGAAACCCAAGAGCTCTGCTACCCTACCCACACTTCTTCAGGCAAAGAAATCCTGTGAGAAAGGTTGGAGGATGAATCCAAGCATATTGCAGAGTTGCCCTGAGTTAGAGGCCACCAAAAGCTCTTGGCTGGGGCAGAAAGGCTCCTGACTGACCTCACCTTCTGCAGAGTTGGCCCCAGGCACAGTGGCTGGAAAAATAACCCCAGACCCCGAGCAGGAGTTCCAGCCACACTTCCCTATCTAAAGGAGCAATTCCAAGGATGCACAGCCCCACATTCTCACTGGAGTCACTCACTCAACTCCAAAGGGAGGAGTTCAGCCTTTGCTGAGACACACAGGTCTACTCACAGCAGTCTCTGGCCAGGAGAAGCAGGGGTTGGCAGGGTGGGATGCTGCTGATCACAGCTGGCATCCATGCCTACATCCCTGCAGTGTTCCCACTGAGTAAATGCTCAAGATGGTCACTAAAAAATTAAGAGCTTGGCTTTGAGGAAGCCTTCTCAGAAGCAGGCACCAAGCAGACTTCACCCAGAGACTGGCATCACCAGCAGTTTGGGTGAAATGCAGAGAGCCCGTCCTCTGAAGCTCACGGGAGCCAGAACCCCCAAATGTTTCCATGCAGGAATGGCAAAACCTCCATGGAGAGAGGAGAAAGAGCGTGAAGATAGCCCTGTGCTTCGAGCTTTCCTCCCTGTTACAGACGAGCTGGTAGCCAAGGCAACCTTGCAGATGCAAGAGCTGGCACGGCAAGACCTGCTCCCTCTGCCTGGCAAGACAGCAGCTCCCCAGGGACAGCCACTTGCAGGCTGGGGGACATGGAAAATACTAGTTCTTTGAGAAGCCTCAACAGAATTGGTCCCACCACCACACACCATGTTTAAACCCACCCGGGGACACACTGCCAAGCCCAAACACGGCCTCCTTGGACCAAGCAGCAGGCAGGCAGCAGTGCTACCACACCTGGGAGGAAAAGCGGATGGGAGCAGCAGGGATTGGTTAAAGTTCATGGTTCAAAAGAGCACTCTGAAGGTGCACGTCATGTTAATTATGGTCATGGACCTGAGGATGTGAACGCAACGATCCCAAGAGCAGGAAAACACTGGGGATGGAGGATCCTGGCTTTGGTTGCACACAGGGTCCTGGGTCCCTCCCAGCCTCATTTTAGAGCTGCCCAGCTTAAGGGCAAGAGAAAAGCATCAAGGGAAATCCCAGTTAGACATCAGAAAAATAATAAATATTCTTCACCTTGAGGGTGGTCAAACACTTCAGCAAGGGCTCAGTCCTCCATGTGGGACTGCTGCTGCTTCAGCTGGACACAGGCAAAGCAGACACAACTGCAAAGCTGTCTCAGCTCCAGACTTGGCTCTGTTTTGAGCCACAGCTTGAGCAAAGACCCCCATAGGTCCATCCTCACTTAAACTGGTCTCTGTTTTCATGCAAGAAGTCCAGCATGAATGCAGAGTTTCAAGACAGTCTTGCTTGCCTGTTACATTGACAAAGCAGCTTTCAGAAACAGACAGAAAAAGGTTTCTGTCTTATTTTCTCTATTAACAGAAATTATTTCCTTCCATCCAGGCTTTCCATTGCCTGTTATTACTAACCACTCATGTGGAAAACAAACACCACCAACAAAAAAGGAATCCAAAGAGGGGGAAAAAGCCCTCAAAACAAGCCTGTAGCTTGAGCACCACAGAGCAGGGTGCATGGAAAACAGCGGGTATGAGCTTGATCTCATGATGGCACAAAGTTGCTCCAAGGAACATGATCATCCAATTTCCCCTTTGAAAGGAACAGGAAAATAGGAATAACTGTATCAGCAGTTTAAGTATAGTCCCTAGCAAAAAAAAAAAAAAAGAGCAGCCTTCTCAGCTCTCAAATAAAAATGTTTCTACTGCTACTTTCAAGAGCTGAAGGCATAAAATAAGCCAAGTGGTTCCTCTCAGTGTCTCAAACCTGCCTTTGTCAAAGCAGGACGTGCTCAGGACGACACAGAGTGGCTCCCAAGGCCTTCTCTGCTTTGGTCAGTGGTGAGTTCACAGGGACATTCAAAACACTTGCAGAGTTACCAGAGTTACCTCTTTTGAGGTCCCTTCCAACCCCTATGATTCTATGATTCTACCAGCTCGTTTTGCTGAATGAAGCAGCTCATCCTCCCCAGCCCCAGCACTCCGGGCTGCCAGCCGGGCCCCCAGCACCCCTGCACCCAGCACCCCAGCACCCAGCACCCCTGCCTGCTGCCTCTGCCAGCACAGCCCGGGAACCACCTGCATTTCATCCCAGACAAGCAGCTGCTGCTACCATGGAGAAGTCCAGAAACCTTTCCAACCTGTCCCTAAACCAGCCCAGGCTCTCCAAGCTTTTGCCTTTCCTCTTCTTACCCCTTCAATTCCAAAACAAACCCCAGAGCTATCCCTTCGCCCTGCCAGAACAGCCACCAGGACGTGTGGCAGCCCCACTTGGGCAGAGAGAATCCCAAGGCACAAACACCCACTTGCTGGGAACACCTGGGAAGCACCAGGTGTCCCAGGGCAGAGCTTCCCACCATGGCACAAACACCCGCTTGCTGGGAACACCCAGGGGCGCAACAAGTGTCCCAGGGCAGAGAATCCCAAGGCACAAACACCCGCTTGCTGGGAACACCCAGGGGAGCAACAAGTGTCCCAGGGCAGAGAGAATCCCAAGGCACAAACACCCGCTTGCTGGGAACACCCAGGGGAGCACCAGGTGTCCCCGGGCAGGGCTCCCCACCGAACAAGAGCTGCGGGCAGAGGCAGAACCCGGAGCATTGGGAGCCGCTCTCCCCGCAGCAAGAAGGGGAAGCAGCACCGCGAGGGGATGAAACACGACCTGGAAGGGCTAAAAAAACCAAAAAATGGGGCAGAAAAGAGGAAACGGCTTCAACAGCGAGAGCCTGGGGGCCGTGCCCGGCAGCCCGGGCGGGATGGGGGTTTGTTGGGCTGCAATAAATCACCCCCCACAAACACACACACCCCCCCACACACTCACACTCACCCACACACACACTCTCACACACACACTCAGTCACACACTCTCTCACACTCACACTCACACACACTCACTCTCACACACACACACTCACTCTCACACACAGACTCACACCCACCCACCCTCACACACACACACTCACACACCCTCACACCCTCACACAGACTCACTCACACACACACACCCACACTCACACACTCACCCATACACACATACACTCACACACACACTCTCACACACTCACAC